CTTCCGATGGTGGTATGAAATAGTTTATATGTGAGGGCTCAACTAGTCATATTTCAGGCATTCTTCATTCCTTTGAGAACTGGTGTTCCAAACTGACTGTAGTTTTGCCAGTGCTGTTGATGTGAATGCCTTTGAGAACTCATTTTTATCTATACGCTCTTAGCTGTTTTTGGAAGACCAGTGGGACTGAAGGTGTTCTGGCCACAATTTCCCCAATGTCTGTATTTGGGCACTAGACTAGTTATAAGCGGTCGGTTGCAAATCCCGGCTTCATGCCTTGAGACCATCAGGCATCAGCCGTGTACTGTTAATGGAGTCGGAACCCCTAGATGTGAATGATTCACTATTTTCTTACAGGTTGTGAAAAAGATATGGAGCCCATTGTGCTCAACACCAAGGTCGTGTATCGCTCAGCAGATGACTTGGTCTACAGCTGCGATGCAAATTATGCAATTGATGGTGTCACAGATGCTAAAGTCACTTGTGGCGATGGGAATATGTGGACCACTCCGAGGTTTACTTGCAGCGGTACGTATGTGTCTGTGGGTGTGGGTGTGTGTGGTTGTGGGGGGGGGGGGGGGGGGAGGTACGTGGAAGTATGTGTGTGTGTGTGTGTGTGTGTGTCTGGGGGGGGGGGGGGGGGGTACGTGGGTGTATAGGTGTATGTGTGTGTAGGAGGGGGGGGCGTGGGTGTATGGGTGCATGTGTGTGTGTATGTGGGTGCATGTGTATGTGTGGAGGTGGATTTGTGTGTTTGTGGATGCTCACTCACAGGTGCGCACATGTGCACGTGTCTCAGCACACGGCCCACGCTATTTCTCATGCTGGAACTATTCCTTCCAATCAGTTTCTCTGCTCTTCTTACTTTTACTGCACTGCCTGTTCCTCATGATCTAAATTTAATAACTTTCCATTCCGGTTCTTCAGTTGCTTCTACCTGAATTGTTGCTGTCTCCCTTTCCCTACCCCCCCCCCCCCCCCCCACACACACACACCTCTCTCTAACTCATTCTTTTCACTGTGTTTATTTGTTTATCTGCAGCATACTGTCAAGTAGGTGAACCATGCGATGGTGAAGGTGAATATTATTATGTATCTGATGCTATTCTGTGGGTGACGTGTCATGCAAGAATCTTGTGTATCTACTGTCGTGTACATGGAAATCCGCTTGGGGACATGTTGTATCATACTATGGTGGTGGTCTACCCTAATTTTCAGAACGTGACCTCGCTGCTACAGGCCCTTGAAGATGGCCTTTGTACTTGTCCCATTGGACAGGTTGAATTGATCGATTCTTTCGAGGGACTCAGCATGTCGCCTGTGGAAAGTCGGATGGTTAAACATTACTAAGTAACTTGGATCGGTGTGCAAACATAGTTCGTTTGGCTGAACTGTGTTGTGAGCAGCGGTGGCCCGTTGTTCTTATACCTTTTTAGAAGGTGTTTCAGATCGAATATTTGTCGCTTTTTTGATTTTCAGCCATATAAGGAATGGTTTTCTGGACCAAAATGTTATAGTGGGTGAATGAGGTCCACCCAGGAATAAAAGGAGCCAAGTTTGAAGGCAATCGGAAATTTGGCCATGTCCGTTGGCATTTGGTCGTTACAGATATTGACTCTTACTACTTGTTGGTCGCTTTTTATGCTTTTTTCTCCTTCCTTCTGTCTCCAGAATGGCCACAAGTCAGTAGTATTGACTGCTTGAAAAACTCATCGATCATGAATGTTAGCAGTTTCATCCCAACAAGTAATCTATATAGCCCGACGGGCGGTGTACATCCTGGCAAGTGTGCTTTCCAATGCGCGTCTCGGAACATGCCCTTTTCGGGAATTTCAAGTGGAACGCAGTGCTATTGTTTTGCAACTCGACCTGAAAGCAGCAGTGGTAGCAGCTCTACTGGCTGTGCTGCGTGCCGTGGCTTCACCAGCTTTACCAAGCCGTTGACATGCGGTAGTGATGCAGGTGCGGCGGCTAAGTACATTTCTATCCACCAGATCAGCAATGGTTAGTAGCAGTTACTATAGCCTACGGATATCCTCTCTGCTTCTATCTTCATATACATGCATTTCGTGTGCGGAGACTGTGTTCATGTAGAAGTCGAGGCAGCGTATGAAAAATTATTGAGGGCCACTGCACTTTAATTCGTTGTATTGGACCTTCTGTTTAAATAGATCGATGTAGTTGTACTTTGGTTTCCTGGAAAGCCCATGTAACAAGCAGACATTGAGATAGACTTAAATGGGCAGGGAACTGTACGTTCAGAACTAGAGAGTAATGCTCAAATTGTGTGGAATTGCATCCTCCTTCTGCTATTTCAGTGTCCCCGATCACAGACTTCCAGGTATTTTGCTGTGCACTCTTGTGAAATGCCCACATGATGCCCATGCAAATTGCAGTAAATCAGGGTGATGAAAGTCTGAAATTGTTCTGGGGGGGGGGGGGGGGTAGGGGGTAGGCATGCGCTTACTGGCATGTTACTGGCATGTTACTGGCATGTTACTGGCATGTTACTGGCATGTTACTGGCATGTTACTGGCATGTTACTGGCATGTTACTGGCATGTTACTGGCATGTTACTGGCATGTTACTGGCATGTTACTGGCATGTTACTGGCATGTTACTGGCATGTTACTGGCATGTTACTGGCATGTTACTGGCATGTTACTGGCATGTTACTGGCATGTTACTGGCATGTTACTGGCATGTTACTGGCATGGTACTGGCATGTTACTGGCATGTTACTGGCATGTTACTGGCATGTTACTGGCATGTTCATCTGATCATCAACATGCTCATTTTGGAACCTTCTATCATCTGCCTACAGGTCCTCCCGTCGGACTGCAAATTACTTCTCAAGCTGGGAGTTTTGTTCGCAATGATGGCGAATCAATCGAACTCATGTGCCAGAGCTCCACTGAAGTCAGCCAGGCCTCATGGTACTTCAACGGAAACAACATTACGAATGACGATGAGTATATTGTAGGTGATCTGGTATCCGGTAGCATTACTCTGACGTTCACAGCAAGCAACACTACAGGTGGAAACTACTCGTGTCTTATGTCAAACGCCAAGTACGTGCCCTCGGGTGGTTATAGCACTTTGAGCAGCAGCGTCACAGCAACTGCGACAGTGATTGTGACAGGTAAGATGGTCTTAGAGTAGCAATGCTGTCAGGCATCTTCACTTCGAGGGTTAAAATTTTTGTACGTGTGGTTCATATGCAGAGGGTTGGTGTTCCGAGTCGTATTCTGGGTAGCATTCAAATTGGGTAAAAAACCGGGCCTGTGGTGGTCGAATGGGAAGACTTATCCATGTACCTGGATTTCACTAGCGATGATAAGACCGAAGTGTTGACCTGTGGCACCTCCCCCCCCCTTCTTGATTCATTTTTGGTACGCCATCCTATCATAATTATATGTACGTTGTGATGTAGGAGTTGGATGTCTCCGAGATTGCCATGGCAGCCATTTTGTCACCTGTGCTGCTATCTTCCTTGCCAATAAATCTAACTTCCACCATAATTTCTATTTGATCACATGAGCTTGGTAGTTCATAATATCCTCCATCCTTTCATCTCTCTCATGGTGAACACAGATCTGTACTATGTGTCACTGCACCAGTTGCTTCATACACCCACAGGAGTCACAATGTTCTGACCTTTTCGACTTTTTTTTTCAGATTGGCCAGCAGTGACGTCATATGGTTGCTACTCTTTCACACCGACAATCCACAATGACATGCAGCGGAACTTTTACAGAGGCCTGCAAACAGTGACTCCTGGCCAGTGTGCGTATGCTTGTGCTGGTAATGGAACGGCTTTTGCTCTGATCAGCGGAGTCGCATGTGCATGTGTAAGCGCCCTCCCAGGTAGCCAGTTTGAGCTCGGTCCAACTGGAACGTGCGGCGAGTTGTGTACTGGCTACAGAAATCATCCTGTGCAAAGCTATGTTTGCGGAAATGGGTCTTTACTTGCCGTCTATGGCATTCAAAATGGTGAGTCCGCTTCCAAATGCCACATCTGCACTTACTAGTCTTCCCATTTTCAGTTTTAGCAGTCTGTTTGCAAAATAATTCAGGCGCAATATGAAGTCTGGTCATGAATGCCTGGTGGCTTTCGTCTGTCCTAAATGTCATCCTTCGAGTAAAGTTGATAACTAGGTGATGATATTGTCTTCATTGATCTAACTGATTAGACCTTTTTGCCGCAATCACTATTTCGTACTGATTAGACCTACATTCCATAAAAAAAATGAGTCCATTCAATGACCAAGGGAAAGTATATAAGACTTCAGGCAAGCCATGTGTGAAGCCACTTTCAGTCCAAAAACCATGGTTGTGAGCAGTTAAGTTTCATTTCAAGTGCACTCACAAACCATCGGCCTTCGATGCTGATTCTCATTGTATGTTTTGCTATTCGTTTCGAAATTTTATTGTAGCACCTCCATTGAATGCTCAGATCACTGCTCCCTCTCGTTATCGGCTTCGCACTGGAGAGGCTTTCAACTTAACTTGCACAATCGCAGACTACAGCTTTGCCACTTCCGTTCAATGGACTCTTGATAGTATGGCTATTTCGACCCCATCAGCTGACGTGTTTGGCAACTCCACATCATCTACGTTGACGGTGACAGCTTCAAGCATGACTATGGGCAAATACACGTGTACATTCAGTAATGATAACTTTACTCCGCAGGGTGACTATGTTGAATTGTCTAACAGTGCCGTGGCCAGCCTTACTCTTAGCGTCCAAGGTGAGAGATCACATTGCCGCTTTTCACAAAGTTCTCAGCTAGACGCATACACACAGGAGTAAAAAATCACAACATTTAGCTAATCTCTGTTGGTTAAGATAATTGGGTTGATTAGGCACCATAAATGTACGGCTTCAGCAGCACAAATCTATTTGCCCTCTCAAAACCAGCCGTTGATGAGAGAATTTTGAAATATTTTGAATGTGGCCTGACCTTAGGAAAGCACACATGAGACTTGAGAACTATTCAATGGCTGCATCATTCTTGTTCACTTCATCCGGGTACATTTTCAGGCAAAATGTCTTTGAAATATTTCCAAAATGTTATGGTTAAGTTATAATCCAGGATCTGCCTTAACTTCACCACATCCTTTCTCATTTTCCTCTTCTTAATCAGATCCAGCCAAAATTCAGGGAATATCGCCAATAGCACATGTCAATGAACTGTCATCAGTGATATTCTTCTGTAATGCCAGTGGAAGTCCAGCCCCAAACATCTCATGGTACTATAACGGTAGAATATTGGCCAGCTCTACATCACCATCATCATCCATAACAACAACGGTGCAAAAGCAGAAGGACAGTTTCAGTGATAATGCCACATCAGTTGCTGCTTCTTCCGTTGTCAGCTCCATGTTGCTGCTTGACAATGTAACAAAGCAGGCTTATGAAGGTTCATACATGTGTGTTGCTTCAAATGAGCTTTCTCCACCTCATGACAATCTTTCAGTAGCACTGAATGTTTATGGTAAGCCCCGACTTGTTGCATTGAAATACCCTGACTTCATCTTTGTCGTTGTCTTTTAGTTCTCTTTTAAATGTAGATATATATGGTGATGAAGATACTGATAAATTTGCTGTCGGTGATGACGTGTGGTTGAATTGAGCATGAGCTCTTTCAGACGACAATGATCTTCTTCTGGTGCATGTCTACCTATATACTTGCAGTTCCACCAATTGAGCTGTCACCGCTCCTGAATGTCAGCGTACCGGAAGGAGATCCGGCCATGTTTTTCTGCAACATTTCTGGTGTCCCTGCTCCAAACATCACCTGGTACAAAGATGGCAAGGTACGTACGTCAGTGTCTTGTGTCCTGTGTCAAGTACTGTGATTTTGAACGATTTTGACTGAATAATCTAAACTGTGATTGTGTAAGAGGGAGATAGAAGAAGGAGTGTTGTACTGTTTACCTGTGCTTGCAGTTTGTGACGGACATTTCTCCTCCTTCTGTGTCCTTTCCAGGTCATTTCTGAGTCTGTGAAGGTGCAAATAGTATCGAGCAATTCTAGCCTGGTCTTGCGAAATTTGACGTATGAGGACCGTGGCAACTATCACTGTGTTGCTGACAATCGACACAGCACAATAGCAGCACTTGGAGGAATAATTGATTCCACAGCAGCCTTTCTTGATGTCTATGGTAAATGAGTGGCCCCAGTGCATGACCATCATGCCATTAAAACATTGTGGAGCAACTAAATGGCTTAAACTGCGAAGTGTTGAATGCCTTGGAGTTGAAGAGAATGTATTTTATAGCGGATAATAACAATACAGCGGACACTATTCAGGTGGGATGCACTTTGGAATACCCATTATACAAGGTACAAGTATCGTGGTAGTAATTCTTTCACGCTTGTTGAGGTGTGGCCTTCTTCTGGCCTTCCTTAATTCACGGAAGCACGATACTCCATGTATTATCCCTACTTCACTGCAAAAGTATATTTTGTTGGTTTCGATTAATTCTTTTGTTGCACGCGAGCGCGCGCGCGCGTGTGTGTGTGTGTGTGTGTTTGGTTTTTGGACAGTTTCTCCTCGTATCACCACCGGCCCAGACAATATCACAGTTGTTTTGGGTGCTAGCACCACCTTGAGTTGTAATTCATATGGGAACCCGCGTCCTAGCATTTCCTGGGTATTCAATGGAGAAGCCGTTGACAATAGCCAGTATACCACAGCAAAGACATCATCAGCTGCTAACTCAACAATACCTTCCGGGTGTGCAAGCAAATTGACATTGTCGAATGTGACATACTTGCATGCCGGTGTGTACACGTGTATCAGTTCTGTTGTGACTGCTGGTGTTCAGCTGTTGCTTCCTGCCACTGCTCAGTATTCGGCCTGGCTCACAGTACACGGTGAGTTAAAATTCATTGATGGCGCTGACGGAGTGGTGCCTACCCGTCAACCAGTGTCTCTGTGTGCTTTTACTGTGTGTGTGGCCAAAGTTGCATTCCCTGCTGGTAGTTTTGATTCAGATCAGATAAACAATGCGTGATGCCTGTGATGTGCGAGCTCCAACATTTGGAGCGATCAAGCACCTACTTCACATCTTTTTCTGCCAAAGTTAGGAAATATAAATTCTAAAAGTTTAGGTTTGCAGATGGCTTGAATCGAAAATAGAATGATGAAGATGTTGTTGATGTGAAAATTTTTCTCTATTGGACGTTTTGTTCCTGTGTCTTTGAACCAATGCAGAATCAGCAAGGATCTTGGGTATATCGCCAATAGCACATGTCAATGAACTGTCATCAGTGATATTCTTCTGTAATGCCAGTGGAAGTCCAGCCCCAAACATCTCATGGTACTATAACGGTAGAATATTGGACAGCTCTACATCACCATCAGCATCCATAACAACAACGGTTCAAAAGCAGAAGGATAGTTTCAGTGATAATGCCACATCAGTTGCTGCTTCTTCCGTTGTCAGCTCCATGTTGCTGCTTGGCAATGTAACAAAGCAGGCGTATGAAGGTTCATACATGTGTGTTGCTTCAAATGAGCTTTCTCCACCTCATGACAATCTTTCAGTAGCACTGAATGTTTATGGTAAGCCCCGACTTGTTGCATTGAAATACCCTGACTTCATCTTTGTCGTTGTCTTTTAGTTCTCTTTTAAATGTAGATATATATGGTGATGAAGATGCTGATCAATTTTCTGTCGGTGATGATGTGTGGTTGAATTGAGGATGAGCTCTTTCAGACGACAATGATCTTCTTCTGGTTCATGTCTACCTATATACTTGCAGTTCCAACAATTGAGCTGTCACCGCTCCTGAATGTCAGCGTACCGGAAGGAGATCCGGCCATGTTTTTCTGCAACATTTCTGGTGTCCCTGCTCCAAACATCACCTGGTACAAAGATGGCAAGGTACGTACGTCAGTGTCTTGTGTCCTGTGTCAAGTCCTGTGATTTTGAGCGATTTTGACTGAATAGTCTAAACTGTGATTGTGTAAGAGGGAGATAGAAGAAGGAGTGTTGTACTGTTAAACTGTGCTTGGAGTTTGTGGCGGACATTTCTTCTCCTTCTGTGTCCTTTCCAGGTCATTTCTGAGTCTGTGAAGGTGCAAATAGTATCGAGCAATTCTAGCCTGGTCTTGCGAAATTTGACGTATGAGGACCATGGCAACTATCACTGTGTTGCTGACAATCGACACAGCACAATAGCAGCACTTGGAGGAATAATTGATTCCACAGCAGCCTTTCTTGATGTCTATGGTAAATGAGTGGCCCCAGTGCATGACCATCATTCCATTAAAACATTGTGGAGCAACTAAATTGCTTAAACTGCGAAGTGTTGAATGCCTTGGAGTTGAAGAGAATGTATTTTTTAGCGGATAATAACAATACAGTGGGCACTATTCAGGTGGGATGCATTTTGGAATACCCATTATGCAAGGTACTAGTATCGTGGTAGTAATAATTCTTTCATGCTTGTTGAGGTGTGGCCTTCTTCTGGCCTTCCCTAATTCACGGAAGCACGATACTCCATGTATTATCCCTACTTCACTGCAAAAGTATATTTTGTGGGTTTCGATTAATTCTTTTGTTGTGTGTGTGTGTGTGTGTGTGTTTGGTTATTGGACAGTTTCTCCTCGTATCACCACCGGCCCAGACAATATCACAGTTGTTTTGGGTGCTAGCACCACCTTGAGTTGTAATTCATATGGGAACCCGCGTCCTAGCATCTCCTGGGTATTCAATGGAGAAGCCGTTGACAATAGCCAGTATACCACAGCAACGACATCATCAACTGCTAACTCAACAATACCTTCCGGGTGTGAAAGCAATTTGACATTGTCCAATGTGACATACTTGCATGCCGGTGTGTACACGTGTGTCAGTTCTATTGTGACTGCTGGTGTTCAGCTGTTGCTTCCTGCCACTGCTCAGTATTCGGCCTGGCTCACAGTACACGGTGAGTTTAAATTCATTGATGGCGCTGACGGAGTGGTGCCTACCCGTCAACCAGTGTCTCTGTGTGCTTTTACTGTGTGTGTGGCCAAAGTTGCATTCCCTGCTGGTAGTTTTGATTCAGATCAGATAAACTATGCGTGATGCCTGTGATGTGCGAGCTTCAACATTTGGAGCGATCAAGCACCTACTTCACATCTTTTTCTGCCAAAGTTGGGTAATATAAATTCTAAACGTTTAGGTCTGCAGATGGCTTGAATCGAAAATAGAATGATGAAGATGTTGTTGATGTGAAGAGTTTTCTCTATTGGACGTTTTGTTCATGTGTCTTTGAATCAATGCAGAATCAGCAAGGATCTTGGGTATATCGCCAATAGCACATGTCAATGAACTGTCATCAGTGATATTCTTCTGTAATGCCAGTGGAAGTCCAGCCCCAAACATCTCATGGTACTATAACGGTAGAATATTGGACAGCTCTACATCACCATCATCATCCATAACAACAACGGTGCAAAAGCAGAAGGACAGTTTCAGTGATAATGCCACATCAGTTGCTGCCTCTTCCGTTGTCAGCTCCATGTTTCTGCTTGGCAATGTAACAAAGCAGGCTTATGAAGGTTCATACATGTGTGTTGCTTCAAATGAGCTTTCTCCACCTCATGACAATCTTTCAGTAGCACTGAATGTTTATGGTAAGCCCCGACTTGTTGCATTGAAATACCCTGACTTCATCTTTGTCGTTGTCTTTTAGTTCTCTTTTAAATGTAGATATATATGGTGATGAAGATACTGATAAATTTGCTGTCGGTGATGATGTGTGGTTGAATTGAGCATGAGCTCTTTCAGACGACAATGATCTTCTTCTGGTGCATGTCTACCTATATACTTGCAGTTCCACCAATTGAGCTGTCACCGCTCCTGAATGTCAGCGTACCGGAAGGAGATCCGGCCATGTTTTTCTGCAACATTTCTGGTGTCCCTGCTCCAAACATCACCTGGTACAAAGATGGCAAGGTACGTACGTCAGTGTCTTGTGTCCTGTGTCAAGTACTGTGATTTTGAGCGAATTTGACTGAATAATCTAAACTGTTATTGTGTAAGAGGGAGGTAGAAGAAGGAGTGTTGTACTGTTTACCTGTGCTTGGAGTTTGTGACGGACATTTTTTCTCCTTCTGTGTTCTTTCCAGGTCATTTCTGAGTCTGTGAAGGTGCAAATAGTATCGAGCAATTCTAGCCTGGTTTTGCGAAATTTGACGTATGAGGACCGTGGCAACTATCACTGTGTTGCTGACAATCGACACAGCACAATAGCAGCACTTGGAGGAATAATTGATTCCACAGCAGCCTTTCTTGATGTCTATGGTAAATGAGTGGCCCCAGTGCATGACCATCATTCCATTAAAAACATTGTAGAGCAACTAAATGGCTTAAACTGCGAAGTGTTGAATGCCTTGGAGTTGAAGAGAATGTATTTTATAGCGGATAATAACAATACAGTGGACACTTTTCAGGTGGGATGCATTTTGGAATACCCATTATACAAGGTACAAGTATCGTGGTAGTAATTCTTTCATGTTAGTTGAGGTGTGGCCTTTTTCTGGCCTTCCTTAATTTACGGAAGCACGATACTCCATGTATTATCCCTACTTCACTGCAAAAGTATATTTTGTGGGTTTCGATTAAATCTTTTGTTGTGTGTGTTTGTGTGTGTGTGTTTGGTTATTGGACAGTTTCTCCTCGTATCACCACCGGCCCAGACAATATCACAGTTGTTTTGGGTGCTAGCACCACCTTGAGTTGTAATTCATATGGGAACCCGCGTCCCAGCATCTCCTGGGTATTCAATGGAGAAGCCGTTGACAATAGCCAGTATACCACAGCAAAGACATCATCAACTGCTAACTCAACAATACCTTCCGGGTGCGAAAGCAATTTGACATTGTCCAATGTGACATACTTGCATGCCGGTGTGTACACGTGTGTCAGTTCTATTGTGACTGCTGGTGTTCAGCTGTTGCTTCCTGCCACTGCTCAGTATTCGGCCTGGCTCACAGTACACGGTGAGTTTAAATGCATTGATGGCGCTGACGGCGTGGTGCCTACCCGTCAACCAGTGTCTCTGTGTGCTTTTACTGTGTGTGTGGCCAAAGTTGCATTCCCTGCTGGTACTTTTGATTCAGACTCAGTCAGATTAAGGACACTTTCCTGGTGCCGCTGTACTTCAAGATCAGCGCTACAACTCGCCATGGTGATAATGTGGCTGACCTCATGTTACCAAGGAAAACATGGCGTTTGGCCGTGTTCGCTGCACGCGAGCGCTCAGCTTTTTTTCACAATCTTGTTTTGAAAAATACTTCAACTCTTTTGCAGCACTTTTGGAGGCCAGTTTTGAGCTCGAATAGCTTTCTCTAATGAAGGATTCAAATATCATGACGTTCTCTTTTATCGTGGGCATGAAGCTCCCCACTCGCAGCGGGGATGACATCGGACGGAATAAATGTGTCGAGTCCCGAGCAGGAGTTCTGCTGACAAAAGTGATTAGCTCCTCGCGACCTGGGGCATGTGAGGACTACAGTTCTAGTTAGGCAATACCCCACGGACACATCTAGCTCGAAGCGCAGAGTCGATTGAGAAAATGACCAAGATCATAAAGAAGGCTTGTTTGCTTCCACAAAATGTTTTAGTAGCCGAGTCCACGCACTGAAAACTGCACTTGCATTGTTCCTGTCCAGTCATACAGTACATACTGTCCAGTCACACAGTACATCAGTGCAGTACAGAGTGCGCTTGCAAGTCAGAACGACACGAGCACAGTCGCGTGTACCATGGTGTTCAGACTCAGTTGTGACCAGCGATCGCGCGTGGGAGCCAAGTACCCCACTCAAGTGCGCATGCTCGGCTCGCTGCATGCACTGTCTCAGTGTAGATCTACAGTAGATTGCTGGTGTGATGCACTACATGTACAGCGCAGTCATTTTATGTGTAAGAGACAATGTCGGCTATTTTGAAACGGCAATGACAGCTTCATCCATAAACGCGGAGCGTGGGGAATGTCTTTGGCGAATGAGAACTGTTGCATTGGCTAGCTGTACATCCCAGCAAGCGGGAATGTGCTGGATATCGATACTAAACACCCGTTCATCGCGGTGGTGAGTCTGAACAGACCCCGAGCTACGACAGCTTCGTATACTAAATGTGTACAGTGCGTATGGTGAAACAAGTCGACACTGATTTCCAGCGAAATGTTGTTATCTATGTACAATATCCACCAATATCCTTTATCTAGGGCCCAAAGGCTATCCAGTTCACCAGGATTTGTGGCCTTACTATTTTTCGTTTTCTCCACGTTTTGGGTTGAAATCTGAACATAAAAAGTAGCACTGATGACGTCATTCAGCTCATAATTTAAATTTGATATTGGAAATCGATGACAACTAACCCAATGTATCAACACAGAAAATTTGGTTGAAAAATATTAATGTATACCAAAGTTATTACCAATACAAGTTTTGTACACACATGATCACCTTATTATACCTGAGGATCAGATAAACAGTGCGTGATGCCTGTGATGTGCGAGCTCCAACATTTGGAGCGATCAAGCACCTACTTTACATCTTTTTCTGCCAAAGTTGGGAAATGTAAATTCTAAAAGTTTAGGTTTGCAGATGGCTTGAATCGAAAATAGAATGATGAAGATGTTGATGTGAAAGATTTTCTCTATTGGACGTTTTGTTCATGTGTCTTTGAATCAATGCAGAATCAGCAAGGATCTTGGGTATATCGCCAATAGCACATGTCAATGAACTGTCATCAGTGATATTCTTCTGTAATGCCAGTGGAAGTCCAGCCCCAAACATCTCATGGTACTATAACGGTAGAATATTGGACAGCTCTACATCACCATCATCATCCATAACAAAAACGGTGCAAAAGCAGAAGGACAGTTTCAGTGATAATGCCACATCAGTTGCTGCTTCTTCTGTTGTCAGCTCCATGTTGCTGCTTGGCAATGTAACAAAGCAGGCTTATGAAGGTTCATACATGTGTGTTGCTTCAAATGAGCTTTCTCCACCTCATGACAATCTTTCAGTAGCCCTGAATATTTATGGTAAGCCCCGACTTGTTGCATTGAAATACCCTGACTTCATCTTTGTCGTTGTCTTTTACTTCCTCCTCGTCATCGAAATTGTCGCAGTTTGACTTTTGATATAAAACGAGGTATTTACTCACCAGCACTCATACCAGATGCAAGGAATCGGACATAGGCGATAATCATCAGTATAGTGTGACGGCAAAGTTCTATTTTCTGTTATTGGAAGCTTGAATTTTTGAACTAGACCCAATTTCTTCGCTGATGTCGCTGCGATGGTAATTTCGACTCGCTGAGATCAGTCAGGAGTTGCAGCCTGCACATTTCTTGTGCTTATGGCCATTCACTCAAGCCTCATCACTGTTTTACCTTAGCTGGGGTGGGAATGACTTCGTGGAACAAGTGGCAGCGCTTGGAGAAACATCGAGGGGTCAGCAAACTAATTGCCTGCAACAGCGATAAAATTTGTCGCTCTGGCTGAGACACTCAGTACATGATTGTACATGAACGATACTTGCATGAGCCGCGTACCATTGGTGTACGGTAGTGACGGTGTAGACTCTACACGTAGTGCTAGTGAGGCATGCGCAGGTGCCGTACCATGGTACACCAGTGATGCTGAAAAAGATGGCGCGCTGGACGTTATAGTACACTTACCTGCATGAGCTGTGACCACACAGCTAAAATAAATGGGCATGCCACGGCTAAAAAAAGTTTATTTCAAGATCGAGGTGATTCCGCCGACGGTGATCAACTGACCTCGCAACGATCGTGTATTCTTACTAGGCTTCGTTGGTGGTGAAGTAGAAATCATCCAGAGCTAGTAGACGACAAGCATAGCAGCTCTTGTCCTGTGGAGAAAGTCAAAGCGTTTGAGATGAGGCGCAACCAACTTTCAACCTTCCTTGAAATATTTCAGAACGATATTTTTGCATCCATTGACATCAGCGACGGCGAGGACTTCATCTCTGCATGAAACCTCCCTGTCCAACTGTCCTGGAACGTTCCTCTAGTCTTCAGACTATCATACTGTGTAATATGTTTTCAATGGCTTAGCTTATGGAGTTGTCAGTAACAAGTGACAAGTCACTAGTCAAACTGCGACAATTTCGATGACGCGGAGGAAGTAGTTCTCTTTTAAATGTAGATATAGATGCTGATGAAGATGTTGATAAATTTGCTGTTGGTGATGATGAGTGGTTGAATTCAGCATGAGCTCTTTTAGACGGAAACGATCTTCTTCTGTTGTATATCTACCTATATACTTGCAGTTCCACCAATTGAGCTGTCACCGCTCCTGAATGTCAGCGTATCGGAACGAGATTCGGCCATGTTTTTCTGCAACATTTCTGGTTTCCCTCTTGCAAACATTACCTGGTACAAAGATGGCGAGGTACGTCAGTGTCCTGTGTCCTGTGTCAAAAACCATATTTTTCCGGTTGTAAGTCGACCTTTCTACGACTAAAAATAGAAGGAAAAAGGTAGGGGATCGACTTGCAACCGGGATTCGACTTATAACCTGGAACTATCAGTATCTTACAAAATGACCTGCACTGCACGCACAAGTGCACCATGTGTACACATTTGTGCCAGTTTATTAGCCTTTTCTCAAGGATTGGGACGTTATACCCTCCAATAAGAAATGTTTACATGATCTGTTGATGTGTAAGTAGCAGGGAGTGGTTAGTAGTGCTTCGTTGGGTGAACACTTTAAAAACCAGAATTGAGGCATCCGGACCCGGGGGTCGACCTATAACCGGGGTCGACCTACAACCGGTAAAATACGGTACTGTGATTTTGAGCGAATTCGACTGAATACTCCAAACTGCGATTGTGAAAGAGGGAGATAGAAGAAGGAGTGTTGTACTGTTTACCTGTGCTTGGAGTTTGTGACGGACATTTCTTCTCCTTCTGTGTCCTTTCCAGGTCATTTCTGAGTCTGTGAAGGTGCAAATAGTATCGAG